ATTTCCTTCATGAATAAACAAGCAACTTTTTTGTTCCACTAGTATTCAAACAATCCCTAAAACTAATTTTCATGGAACATATCAAACCATACCTTGAGTGCGAATCTTTGGAATTTGTTCATAGCTCTAAAGTGCTTCATCCTATCAAGAAACTCATCATCTATTGGATTTTTGGTTGCTACACCATTGTCCACCAACTCGCAAAAGATAGTGTGTTTTAATGCTAAACAAGGCTACACCAAGGTTATATAAGTAATTTCAATCTTCCTTCCATTTGGATTTGCTAATTAATTTTGTTATGTTAGAAACATACTAAGAACATCCGCGACAACATCCGCGACGGTTGGGCGTTTCTTTGGATCCGCCCTGGGCATCTTCTTCACCAACTCTTCCACATTCTATGAAATCAACCGCCACGGGTAGTTCTCCATATCGGGATCTGCTTTCATTATCGCGCGAAATATCTCTTTCTCATCTTCTACAAAAATAAAAAAATTTGGGTGAGTTAATTTTTTTAGAGGTAATTTAAATGCTAAAAAAAAGATAAGGAATCTTTTAATCTTATTCTTACCACCATAAAAAGGCGGCACTCCGGTGAGTAACATATATAGAATCACCCCTGCGCTCCATATATCCACTTCTTTTCCATATTCTTGATGCCTCAAAACCTCGGGGGCAACGTAGAATGCGTTTCCAACTTTCTCTTGGTTCATTTTTCCTAGAAAAAAAGGTTGCATATTTCATTTTATTTGGGAATTCACAAATTGATTCAATGTGATAAATAGCAATAACAATGTGTTTTTATTGTTGGTTTTTTTTATAGGATCTTGTTTTTATTGTTTTTATTTCTTCCTGTTACAATGTTGTATTATAAATAAACCATGTAGTTATAGCAATGGCATATTGGCATCCAAATATAAAGCAATTTTTCACAATGCTATAATTGATAGGTTTTTCAAAATATAATATCCTGATGAAAAAAAAAATAAAAGTATAATGCATATAATATGGTATATTTTTCAAAGTACAACAAAAATGTATACCAAATATAAAACGGTTTTCACTACTATAGTTGGTAGATTTTCAAAGTATAATATCATAATAAGAAAAAAAAAGTTAATAGTAAAATGCTAGATCTGTAACGCCTGGTTCCTGGTATGTATTTAACTTATAATTATTCATTTTTATATAGCAACTCGACGAGTTGGAGGCCCCAAACTCGTCGAGTAGAGATGTTTTGGACCACGCGTTTTGGTGACCAACTCGACGAGTTGGCTGGGTAAAATGAAACCCTAATTCCATGGTTTTGCACCCTATTTAAACACCTTAACCCCAAGGTGTTGGCCTCATTTCCAGCCTCCACTGTCCTAACCCTAAATCTCGAAACCCTAAAGCTACTTTGAGTGATTGTGAGCCATTTTGGGTGTTTTTGGTGTGTGTTGAAGCCATTGGAAGAAGGAAAAGCTTGAAGACACAAGAAGGAGCTTATAGATCCAGAACCTTTGCCTCATCCATGACACTTTTCTGGTATAAAGCTTGAACATTGCCTTGTAGTTGTTTAGATCTTCTTTTAGGGTTATTTTGTTTGGTTTTGCCCAAATATCATGGTCCTTGGGAGTTGGACGTCCCAAATGGGTTAACACTTCAGATCTAGGGTCTTGAAGGGTTTTCATGGCATAAAGGTGCCAACTTTATGGCCATGGGAGTCCCATGCAACCTTTAGACCATCATTTTGGCCTTTTGGAGCTTCTAATGACCATGTATGTAGAGAAAGCTGGAACTTTACGTGATCTTTTTGTCCCTAGAGTCCAGATCTATGATCTCATGGTCTATCTTGTAGTTTTGGTGGTTTTTTGGATTAAGACTTTGGCCTTTTTGGGTTAGGGTTTGAGCTTAATCTCTTTAGGAAAGGTATTAATGGGTAAAGTTGGAAACTTTACCCTTCTAGAGGCATTTCCAGTCTGGATCTGGAGTATAGGGTGTAGATCTGAAGAATAATGGCTTAATGCATTAAGAAGGGTTAGCAGACTGAAGAACTCGACGAGTTCACGAAAGAACTCGACGAGTTGTAATGAGAAGTCTCGATTCTGTTGAAAAGGAAGAACTCGGTGAGTTGGAGGAAAACTCGACGAGTTGAGTCAACTTGGAGCGTTGACTTTGATTTGACTTTGACCAAAGTTAAACCTTAAGGGGTTATGAGTATGAAGGGGTACTTAGGGAAATCTTTTATGTTTAGGGGATTGAGTTGGATTGATATTCGAAGCCGGGGACTGTTCAGCTACTTTCCAGTATTCGATGTGAGTTACTTTCCCTGTATCAGTGGGTCGAAGGCACCAATGTCGGCCCCCTTGTTGTTTTTATAGTAAGATGATTGTCTCTGTGATAATTGTCTGGTATGCCACTATCTGTTGTGATTTATGTGCTTGTATGCTATGATATTATGTGGAAGTGGTAGGGGTGAAATAGACCCCGTAACCGGTTGAAATAGACCGAAGCGGTAGGTCGAGCACCTAGATATGCTCGACAGTATCCGGTTGGAAGAGACCGAAGGGGTAGGTCGAGCACCCATATATGCTCGGCAATATCCGGTTGAATTAAACCAAAGGGGTAGGTCGAGCACCCAGATATGTCTGACAGTATGCTTTTATGTGGTATGATGGGGGAACTCACTAAGCTTTGTGCTTACAATTTAGTTTGTGTTTCAGGTACTTCTTCTTCAAAAGGAAAGGAGTCGGCATGATCGCAGCGCATCACACTATGATTTTTCGCATTATGAGATCT